TCTTGCAAAAAGCAGTAATTAAAAATCTGTCATCTGTATCTCCTCTGGAGTGTCTGCTGTTGGACGTAAACCAGGAGGGCATTGTCAATTCTTGTCATTTTTTGCATTATGATTAATTCTTTCTTTGGGTTTAGATAGCTGGTTGGGATTTTTTTTCTGAACAAAATTTAAATAAGACAGAACAATTTATCCCTGAGCTGTTAATCATCTAATGTTTTCTAGCCAGCTGTCGTTCTCTGTGGTTTGGTTTTGGCAGCGCTCCGATAATTTAAATTATTGCTTAATTACATGCACATCCTCTCTTTTTCAATTTTATCAGCTGTGTTAAAATGCATGCTGATACTAGGGTATATATATATATATATTCAATGAAACTTGGGTGCATCCTTTACATTGAATGTTAGACACCCTCTTCTATAAACATAAAGACCTGGTAGTCACTGCTCCCCTAAAAACCATTTCACCCTTCTGCCTCCCTCTCTGTTGATTCCTGCATATTACGTCAACATGAAATGCAGGAAATCTTGAAGTCTTGGTATCATCAGGGAAGGAAATCAGTTTATACCAGGCCTGGGCAACTTCGGCCCTCCAGGTGTTTTGGACTTCAACTCCCACAATTCCTAACAGCTCCACTGAGAGGGAAAAGGAAGGGGCCTGAGGCTGTTAGGAATTGTGGAAGTTTAAGTCCAAAACACCTGGAGGACTAAAGTTTGCCCAGGCCTGATCTACACTATATAATTAATTCAGTGTGACACTACTTTAACTAATGGAATCCTGGGAGTTGTAGTTTTGTAAAGTTTTCAGTCTTCTCAGCCAAAGAGTGCTAGTGCTCACCAAACTACAAATCCTGTCATTCCATAGCATTGAGTCATGGAAGTTAAAGTGATATCAAACTATACTACTTCTTTAGTGTAGATGCATCTTTTTTTTGAGTCTCTTCTCTCCAATATAAATGCTTTCCAGTGAGCTCTTATTGACATGCCTTGACTGATATACTGGAGTGGTCATCCAGTTCCTCATTGTTTAAGTCACTTGCCCCAGCCTGTTTTGTCAAAGAAATTTGGTTCAAGGCCCAGTTGTCCATAGGCATGCCATTAGCCTGGTGCTATTGGCTTTTTATTAATCAAAGACTCAGTGGTATGAATTATTATCAATTGAGTGTGTCTTGGATTATAGCACTAATCACAAGGATGTAAGAGTATTGTACTGGATTGTGGCCAACGGGCCTTGAGGGAGCAGCTGAAAACAACTTTTATGAAAGCACGTACTAAGATCTTAGTGCCCCAATGCATTTTTTTTACTCTTATTGCTGCTTTTGAATACATAGTGCATACCGTATTTAAAAGCAATATGCAATATTCTTTTAAATAGGTCAGTGCTACTGCTTTTCAAAATGCATCATGTATTTAAAAAGCAGCACCATTGACAGTAGCATTAGAAAGCATCTACCAGTAGCATTAGAAAGCATCTACCTAGAAAGATCTGGAGGAGCCCCCGGTGGCGCAGTGGGTTAAACCCCTGTGCCGGCAGGACTGAAGACCGACAGGTTGCAGGTTCGAATCCGGGGAGAGGCAGATGAGCTCCCTCTATCAGCTCCAGCTCCTCATGCAGGGACATGAGAGAAGCCTCCCACAAGGATGATAAAACATCAAAATCATCCGGGCGTCCCCTGGGCAACGTCCTTGCAGATGGCCAATTCTCTCACAACAGGACACTCCTGACACGACAAAAAAAACCAAAAAAACAGAAACAAACAAAAACAAACAAAAAAAACCTGATCTGGATTGGATAGAGTATATGCCAGGGAGTAGTTGTGAGGGGGTTTCAGAGGGGTTGCCAAAGAATATATCTGATGGTCTTAGGAACCCCCTTGGTAGAGAAGGCTGAAGATCTCTCCGCCTGTCCTCTTCCTTTTTGAAAACAGGTGGCTAATCCCTCCATGAAAAGCCCTCTTCTGCTGTGATTAGCTGGCCTCTCAGCCAAAGGGAGGGCTATTTCTGAGACTCAAAGTGGGGGAGGGGAGAGCAGGCATGATTGACACATGGCAACTTGGTGCACATGTGTGGACGAGGGGGAGCGTGTGAGGTTGGAGGGAGGTTCACGCCAGTGAGTCACTTCAAGGAATGGCAGTCTGTGTGGGAAGTTTGGAACAATTCTATCATTGGTGGGATTCAGAATGCTCTTTGATTGTAGGTGAACTGTATATCCTACCAACTACAACTCCCAGATGTCAAGGTCTATTTTCCCTAAACTCCACCAGTGTTTACATTTGGGAACGTTGAGTATTCATGCCAGTTTGAGTCCACAGTTCTCTCTTGATGGAGGTGAAGTACATCACAAGTTCTCTCTGGATGTAGGTGAAGCCTACATTTGGTGGGCATTGACTCAAGGTCAATGCCCACCAAACCCTTGCAGCATTTTCTGTTGGTCATGGGAGTTCTGTGTGCCAAGTTTGGTACAATTCCATCGTTGGTGGAGTTCAGAATGCTCTTTGATTGTTGGATAACTATAAATCCCAGCAACTACAACTCTTAAACGACAAAATTAGCCCCCCCCCCAAACCCCACCAGTATTCAAATTTGGGTGTGTCAGGTAGCTGTGCCAAATTTGGTCTAGTGAATGAAAACACATCCTGCATATCAGATATTTACATTACGATTCATAACAGTAGCAACATTACAGTTATGAAGTAGCAATGAAAATAACGTTATGGTTGGGGATCAACACAACATGAGGAACTGTTGCAGCATTAGGAAGGTTGAGGAACACTGTTTTTAAGGATGCTGAATCCTACATCCTCTACTACAGCCCACATATTTCCAAGGCATGCTGGAAATCAGTGCCTTTTCCCCAGAGTGGGGCTACTTTATATTCAGTTAAAAGAATTTCAGTAGGATTGCTCCAGAGTTTCAGCCAATTGTGTTTATTTCTCAATGGATTTTAACTCTTCTTGCCTATTCTCCTTCCCCAGTTTACATTCTAGAGTTGTTTTCTCACCCTAAGTGTATGAACAAAAGTGGTCTGGCTACATATCAGGGTGCTACTCGATGGAGTGTCATATTTCAGTGGTATATGGCATCCCCTAGTGTATAATTTGTTCCAGACTTTGTAGGGAGGGGAAATGGGATCTGAGCAGCAGGATTTTTGTGGGCAGATCAGTTTTTAAAATTCGTTTACTGTAGCATCCTCGCTATACTGAGACAAGTCATTTTTTGTAACTAAGTGTTTCAACAGTTGTGAGAAAGGGGCCAAATAGAATCCCAACTGAATAAGGCACCAGGTTTGATTCAGTGCAAGACTGAAGGTGTGGAACGGCGGGGGAAGCAACTTCTGAATTAGCCATCACTGGAGCACAGTCTTTGCTTCTGCATTTCCTTTGGAGCAGCAGGGGTGAAGGAAAGGATGAAATTCCACACCACTTCCATGATCACACTGTCTGTCTGAAGCAATTTTGACCACTGCTCCTGCTGCTGTTGCCTGCATGGAACAAAGAGACAGGCTGCATGTAAACCTCATGTATCAGACTTTTAAAAAGTGTTCATAGCAGCAAAGGAAGATTGATTGGCAACAACTGTATTTCACATTTGCTGGATTATGTGTGTCAATGTTGAAACAGTTTTTAAAAGGTCTTCCAGCAACTTAACATTGCATACATTTTGGGATTAATAAAGCGTTTTTCATTTCATAGTCTCCTTCGACTGTCATTGCATGTTGCAACTTTGGAAATGTCGTCACCATGTTTTTGACTCCCTGGTTGGTAAAGTTGATGAGGAAGGAAGCAAGGGGTGATAGATGACAAATAAACACCACACCCTGGATGTCCAAAAGAGAGGGAACACAACAGCAATATCAGCTGTAACTGTTATCCTGCTCTGCCGTGGACCATGTCTCCCTAAGTATCCTATACTATTCATGTGGCACTGCTTGTCTTTCTATCAACTTGTGGGGAAACTGTCTTTCCTTTCTCCAGAGTCCCAATGACATTTTTTAAAATCACACCAGGGGCTGTGGTGGTGTAGCGTGTTAATCTGCTAAGCTACAGAATTTGTTGATCTGAAGGTCAGTGGTTCAAATCTGCAGGACGGGGTGAGCTCCTGCAGTTAGCTCCAGCTCCTGCCAACCTAGAGTTTGAAAACATGCAAATGTGATTAGATCAATAGGTACGGCTTTGGAAGGAAGGTAATGGTATCCATGCAGTCATGTTGGCTGCATGACCTTGAAGGTGTCTACAGACAACACCAGCTCTTTGGCTTCCCGGAGTTGGACATGACTAGATTTAATGTCAGGGGGAAACCTTTACCTTCATGCATCAGCAACCCCCTCAAGTTATTATGAAGGCCACTTTTAGAGAAAAGGGCTAATTTAAAACTAAACAACATCTGGAAGTATGTGATTACCCACCCCAGTTGTGCAGTCCCATATTCTTTTCCCTCTCGTTGTTAAAGATTTAAGCAGTAGCAGCTCTTAATTACAAGAGCTTCACTAATTTTAAGTCTTCATTTGTGCTTGTGCTTGTGTGCGTGCTGGAAAGAAGATGGTCTTGGGAAAACAAAGTGATTTCTAGCTTTCTCTTCCTCTCTGTTGCTACAGTAGAGTCATGCTTATCCAACATAAACAGGCCGGCAGGACGTTGGATAAGTGAAAATGTTGGATAATAAGGAGGGATTAAGGAAAAGCTTATTAAACATCAAATTGCATTATGATTTTACAAATTAAGCACCAAAACATGTTTTACAACAAATCAATATAAAAAGCAGTTCAATACATGGTAACTTTATGTAGTAATTACTGTATTTACGAATTTAGCATCAAAACATTGCAATGTATTGAAACAGTTGTGTATCCGGGTGGGAGGCCAACTGCATTGGATAATACAGAACACTGGATAAGCGAAGGTTGGATAATCGAGACTCTACCGTACTTCATTCTCTATTCTCTCTACTCACTTTTTAATTTTTGGCAATCTGCTGATTCTATGTCTCCTCTTTTTCTCCCCATAGTATCCTTCATGTGGTTGTGATTCAAAACAGCAGCAATGAAGATAAGGCTCTCTGCCACAGCAGTTGCTGCCCTGTGTGCAGCTCTTCTACTCTGCTCGATAGAGGCTGAAGGTAAGCATTTCTTTCCTTATTCCTTGGAAGTGATGGTGCAGAATTATACAACGCAACACATTCTTTCTGAGTGGAATTCCTCCTTCATGTTGTTCTCTTGCTTTCTCTCTTTCTCCTTCTGCTTTCCTTTTCTTTCTGTGGTTTGTTTATTTCCAGATTCATAGCTCTCCTCTCCTATCTTCTTCTCCATTGTCTTCCTTGTGTGTGCTGTCCACTGCACTCCTTGCAACCAGGATCTGGCCTCCCAGGCTCTTCTTGTCTTTCTCTACCTCCCTCCCAGAGGGAGAAGGAAGACACTTGTACAAACTTGAAACTTCTCCTTAATAAGCAGCAGAAACCCTGGAGCACTTGCACACACCCTTCTGATGCTTGGTTGCCTTCCCTTGTATGATTAGATGCATAAATGCCACAAAATGCACATTTTTTCCTTTTAAATAAAGCACTCCAACAGAACCTGGCTGCCTGTGTATTTGTTTGAAATGAGATATAAATGGGGCAAGGAGGGGTGGGAAGAGTGGGGCTTTTCTAACGTGTGAGACAATCAGAATAGGAAAAAGGTTCCTATTTAAGGAAATAGCCTGTACTTGAACAACATGCTCACAATTTTGCCATCTTTTCTTCCACACAAAATATATTGACCATCATTCATTGCAAGATGACCCATCTGGAATCCTTTTGCAATCGTTTCTGGATCATCTCTCTCTCTATTCTCTCCTCTTCAAATACCAGTCTCATTTTCCATCTCATTAAAAAAGCCCTCCCCCATCTCTCTTCCTCTCCCGCCCATCCATCCATCCATCCATCCATCCATCCATCCATCCATCCATCCATCCATCCATCCATCCATCTATCCCATCACAATTTCCCACTGAATTTCTTCCCTGAGGGTTGCTGATTCAAGTTATGGATTCTCCCTTGGCATTAACAAAGTTAGCACTACACTGAGACATCTTTAATGCGGTGGTGCAATGGGTTAAACCTTTGTGCCGGCTGAACTGCTGACTTAAAGGTCAACTGTTTGAATCTGCAAGATGGGGTGTGCTCCTTTCTGTTAGCTCCAGCTTCCCATGTGGGGACATGAGAGAAGCCTCCCACAGGATGTTAAAACATCTGGGCGTCACCTGGGCAACGTCCTTGCAGATGGCCAATTCTCTCACACCAGAAGCGACTTGCAGATTCTCAAGTAGCCTCTGACATGAAAAGAAATCTTTATATATGACAATGTAACAAACAGCAGCCTCAGAATTTGAAGATATTTATATATGAGATTCTTGAACGTCAACTCATGCTGTTGTTAACCAACAGAGGGTAGAAGCAAGCTGTCCTCCCCCACTCCATACATAGGGTTATTTACTTCTAGCTAGCTCTGGCAAGCTAACTGGAAGTAAACATCCTGTATTCACTCTGTCTTGAGAGTTACTCTTCCATCCAGTTGTGCCTTTTATTTACCTGTCATCCTGGTCAATAAAATCCTCAGATAGGCCTGTCATCCAGGAGGTCTATTACACAAAAAACTGTCAAATTCTACCAAACTCAGCTATTTTGTTTTGTTTGAACTCAGTATAATAGGAGACAGGCAGGTCTTCCTGTAGGATGTTTCTATATGAGAACACCTTTGTGCAATTGTACTATTTTTAGATCATTTTATAATAAATCCATTTACTGCCATTCATAGCCTTCCCGTGTACCTATCCCTGCATTTCCCATCTTTTTTTCTTGTTGGAAAAATAATCAAGGCGGGATAGCCAAAAGAAAGATAGTATAGGTGAACATCTTTTAACTATCTGGCCTAAAAGCATTGTTTATAGATCCCCTCTCCCTTTGTACAGCAGATGAGACGCACTCTCCTAAGGCTTTTATGTTTGAATGCCATAAGGTAATTCATGACCTTCATGCTAGTGTGAAGTGAATGTGCTCTTGGTGTTAGTCTGAAGTTTAAGGAGCTCTCAAAAATGTTGACCCATAATAGGTCAGCACCTAGGATAGCACCTTCAAAGTCCAGACTAAAATTCAGAGCACATTCAAGAGCCACATGTGCATGGAAACTTCAACCATGTCATCTACATGTTTGATGTACTTTTTGTTGAAATTTGAATATGATTAAGAAGTTTAATGCTCAAATTGTGGCCTCTGGTTGTGTTCCATGAAATGTCTGAGTTCATGCAACCAATATTTTTCATTTGACAGTTTTCAACAAAGCTTATTCCACATACACACTGTATATTTCCTTGGATGTCTTGTTTTCAGACAACATTGCTCGTGCCTAGTTTCATGTCAATTTTGGAAGTTAGAGCTGTGGCCCTTGTTTTGGTCATTTTTCATCTTGACAATTTTATCTTCCTTCTCTTTGGCGTTTCCTTATCATAGCACAGTCCACTTATTATATCAAGAACTTTTTTACCCCAAACATTCAGTCCTATGTCCTCTGTTGCTTTCGGACTTTATAATCAAAGCACCTTGAAGTAAGGATCTAACCATTTTCATGTGTGGTTATGTTATAAAGTCTCATATTCTTATGAGTCTTTATTTTCAATTTGCATATTCAGAAAAACATTGAAACAAATCTATATCCATGTATATATGCATGAACCAATACAATACTTCCTAACATCTATACAATATGTTGGGTTATGTTCTCCCCTCCTTTCCCAATTTAGTGACTTCCCGTTCCTTGGGATGGAGACATTCATATATAATTCTGTTCTTCTTTCCTATTACATTTTCTGTTCTTCTTTCTGGCCTGATATTTATTATTTCTAAATTCCCTACACAGATTCTAACAGGTTAAATTATGAACCCTTCTATAAAAACTGTCCTTCTTTCTTTTTAAAAATATAGTTTAGAAATGACGCTCTTTAAATAATTATATTAATTACATTTTCAGACTGTGGCCAACATACATCTTTCAGAGCACCTACAAAATCAGTTCAAACTAGCATGGTAGAAATCACATAGTGTTATTTTCTCTACAACTGAAGAATCATCCCAGACACTGAAGCACTCAGAAAATTAATGGGGAAATTATTCTCTGATCTTGAGCTGCAACCTGGGTCTCCTATGACACTTGATCACAGGGGAATGATGAATCAGGGGATTATAAACAGTTCTTCACATGCAATGATTTCCTTGTGTCCTAGGTGAGACAATCAGTGGTGTTTGAAGAAATATATGCTTTAGACCCAGATGAGGTTGCGGGTAAAATATGTGCATTGTACAAATTCACAAAAACTGGCAAGGGGCATGCATGGCCTCTCACATTCCTTCATATTGCAGAGCAAACTTCAGAGCTTTTGCTTGCTTGTTCCTTTTCCCACAATTCATGGGAAAAGGCAGAAGCCATGTTATACTACCTCTTTTCTAATGAGTCTGATGGACAAAATCCTTGCTGGATATTTGGGTCCTATGACATTTCTGCTGAATACAATTGAAGATGTAGAGTAATGGTGGAGGATCACTTCTGTGTGGATAAAGCATGAAGAAGACATCATGACAAAGTGCAAAATGAAGGTGTCACAAGTCATTTTGATGGATATGGATGAGGTACGTATGAGGGTAAAATAATTTTTTTCTTTACAAATTGTACAGTTACACACAAATCTTTATTAGGATCGACCAAAATGTCACTAAATAGTACTGTTTATTAAGGCTAGAATTTGGTATGAAAAATGGGGATTAGAAAAGAAGAAATAAAAAAACCTCCCTAAATTACCACATAAGAGCATCATGAATCAACAGGTAAACTGGTCTCTCTCTCTCTCTCTCACACACACAAACTGTGCTTAGAGTATTCTCAAGACAGAAGTTTCAAATTACAATTCAGATTCTGGGGTAAAGATACAATGGACGGGGACTTTTTAAAAAGCAAGACACTACATTTTTTACTAGACTTGGCTTGGGTCTTAAATGAAATGGAGGGATTTCTGGAAGGCAGAGAGATGGAAGAAAGAGGAGCAATTGTTTTGTCCCATCCGTTTGTTCTTGAAATTTGTATGCTATTTTGTAACATTTTGGTTATTCTGAGAAAGGACATTGCTCAGACTGTGGCTTCTGGTATATTATTGTTCTTGTACTTATAGACAAACACAGTTACCTTTCTTTGTGATATATTTGTCATGTATAAGTTGCGTATGAACTTTTTGGAACTTTTTGCTAAAGGGCAAACTATGCTGCAAATGAATCAGTGTAAACCCAAACCAAAATTCCTACCCATTCATGACCTCAGATGCCGGACCTGTACTTATGGTTGGTTGTAACCAATACCTCAGTTCCCAGACCATTGACCACAGAAGTCAATGAGACTGGTACATAGTATAAGCTTTCTGTTGTTTGCTTTGTTTTACATGCAATCTTAACTGATTATTATCTTGCAACATCCAGCTGGCTCTTTATTATAGCCTGCAACAAATGGGAGAACTTGGAATCCCACGAACACCACAAAAGGATTGCTCTATGAGGAGTGTTATCCTCGCTACAGATTTCAGCTGGTTTAAAACCAATTCCTTTATCCTAAGGAATTCCAGAATCTGTTGTTTATGTAATTCCTTGGTGAAAACAATTCTTAAAATTGATGGAAGCTTGTTATTAGAAATAAAATGGGAACTGGGGGAAATTGGAGGAAGTATGAGAAGTGTTCTTTCTGAGGACTTCTCATAAAATGGTAAAATGGACAAAAGAGAAAAGTCATCCCTTTCAAATCAGATGATTTCCAACAAATTAATGGCTTCTTTTTGAGCAGTGGTTCTCAACCTGTGGGTCCTCAGATGTTTTGGCCTTCAACTCACAGAAATACTAACAGCTAGTAAACTGGTTGGGATTTCTGGGAGTTGTAGGCCAAAACACCTGAGGACCCACAGGTTGAGAACCACTATTTTTGAATAACTGGCCAGTGGTCAAGGGTAATTGATCCCCTGTGGCATTGGTGCTTTCTCCTTTCAATAGAACAATCTTTAGCTTATTTGTGGGTCATATCAAAATCCATAATTTTAGCCTTGAAGCCTGCT